GCTACTTGAACTAAAACACGTACATTATTTCATTTTGCCTGTTCTTTTACCTGAAAATCCCTTCGTGAATTCCAGAAGAACTTTGCAGTGATTAGGTGTTGATAAAGATAAAACAAAAATGAATTTTAGTATCCATAAATTAAATATATCTAAACTAACCTGTGGTTTACTTCATTTTAAAGGTACACTCTACATGTAGTTTTCGGAGAAATCCTGCATCCAAATGGTTTGTGTCTGCTTCCAGGTTTTATAATAGGACCACATATACAATGCTTGCCTGTACAACCAATGTTTCAAATTCATTTCAAATTAACCTTAACCCCCTCGGGTGTATGTAAAATCATACTGAAATTGGAGGATTTGGGACTGTTAGGGATAGCTTTCCCAAATTAAGTACACCCCTTACAGGTAAAGTGTGCAACATTTCAGCTGAACAATTACACCATGAGCCATGCATTTCAAGCCCAAGAGGTCTCCATACATTAAATGTTTGGAGGCTTCAATGCAGCATTTATTGGATGGTCCACTTAATCACAGATAAGAGCTAAATCATTAGCCTAGCGTACACCTTGATTTACCGATCATATGAACTGTACCTGAGTTATTACAAGTAGCCGTGACTCAGAAACTTCTGGTACACGTACAGTACTTCAAGACCCACTCACTGAAATACACACGGCAAACACAGAAGGCCTAACAAATCCAGCACAGGCTTTCATCAAGCACCTTCAAGCAGCAGTTTGATTAAAGGTGACAGGTAAAATTAATCCTGCCAAAGAGTGACAATTTTGTCTTTATTGCATGAGAGCCATGGAAAACCTGACATACAATGAGTTCACTGCAATCGTGAGCTGATGATTATCTTTCGGTTCTGAAGTCACGAAACACCAAAAAATATGCCAATAACCGACACAATTTTGATTGTTTTTTTTTTTTAAATTAAGTGGCAGACATTCTATTCACGGTTTTCCTCATTCATATGTTAAACATTGAAGAAGGTTATCTAAAGCAGCAGTTTTAAAGGACATCCTCATTTCATCCGGTTCAGATTCTCCCAAGAACCTAACAGCCCTGTTAGGCTTTGAACCATTCCCAATAGTGGAAAGGGAAAAAAGTCACAGTCAGTGCTGACCAACTGCTGAGCTGCCATTAAGAGAGTGTGAATTCGTTGAGTTTCCCACGTTTCCCACTGACTCAAAATTTTGGAGAATCTGGACTGCTAAAGTCAAGGCCAATAGGGCTAAATGGTCCGGTCACCGTGCAGCGACCACTTTAAGTGCTTACATGTACATTCCGGATTATAAAACTTAACACCAAACTGCACAGGGTTTCTACTGACTAAGCCTTCGTTTGGTGGTCTTCTCAATGGGTTGCTATCAAATTGTGTGTGCCATGTGACCAGGGACCATTCCCTAAATCAAAAGCAGTAAATACCATAATCAGGGGTCACTATAAGAGGTATGAATTGCCTTGAAAAAGTTTCAATATTGACACCAAATTCATGGCTAGCAATGCTATTTTAAGCTACTGCATCCACTTATGACAGGCACAGTTTACACTAGGCAAAGAGTTTCATTATTAAAACACAGTAAAGTGGACTAGACATTCCTCCACGGTTATAACTTACTGCAAGTATTTCAACACCCCAAAACAACATTATAAAGGCAAATGTGATTGGGCATGCAGGCTGTAGTTTGAATGACACAGAATAGCACTTTTATGTTCTCACTAAGTTGTTGTTCCCTTTTGTAGGTCAAAATGGGTGAAACCAAATTTTCCTTTCAGATTCGGCATTACAATGGACATAGATTTTTCCTGAAAACAGAGATCACTCTCACACCTGAATCCCTTTACTGTGTTTTGTGCTGGTTAGAAGAAGAGAGTTGCTCACCTGTATATACTGCCAGTCAGATAGTCCACCATCTTCATCAGGTGCTTGGTCAGTTCCTGGCCTTTCAGCATGGATCGATTCACTGCAACAGGCAGGGGAGAATCCCGGCCGGCTGGCCCTCCCTTGACAAGGTCGGGGCTGTTCCTGGCACTGGAAGGGCGGATACGCCCACTCAGGGGCTTGCTGCTCCCACCTCCCGACGAGGGGCGGCTGTCTGAGGGGTTGTGGTGGGCCAGGTTGATGCACGTGCGGAACATGTCTTGGAACCAGGGCAAAGAGAACTGGTACATGACGTCGATGCCGGCTAGGTCGGCCAAGACGAAGTACAATACTGCCCCTCGGGTGGCAACCTTGATGGTGACGTAGACATAGTAGGATACAAATTGTGACAAAAGAGAAACAATATTTCAAAAAAACTGCCTGATCACTTGCTGAGTTTTTCTACAGAAACCGATTGTAAAAAAATCACAAATATGCTTGGTTTATGCTGACATTTGGTGCCCTACAAGTACGAATTGTAATTTGAAGCCACAATGAATGGAAAAGGTTTAAGATTTGTGTGGAAGGTATCGGTGGTAACAGACAGTTTGAGCATATAAAATACCATTAATGCCCTGTTTTTCAATGAGATAATATACATGTATGTTACGTATTTCTGCATATGAACCAACACTTCATCAGATATGCCCTGAAATGGAAGGAAAAGATAGCAAACTCAACACACAGTGATGCGATGCTACAGCTATCCTTGAAGCCTCCACTTGATGACAAGTACTTGACGACACCATTGGCTTCATTACTCTCCCTCCAAATGGGCAGACAGAAGTTAATTTTGCATAATTATTAACTTCAGGGTGGCTGGGAGACAAGGCCAGTGTAATCGACAATTGCATGGTGTTTCCCAGCTACCACGGATCCATCTGAAGCATGGCGCAATACCGGTCACAGCTGAGTGTTTGTGTTGTAAGTTATGACGCGGTCGATTCAGTAGCTCTTGTAACATTAAAGTCATGCAATCAATAAGATTGTCACAGATTTCCTAGCGTCTGTGGCTCAAAGCAGAGCAGATCGACATGAAGAAATTACCTCACTGCACATTCCAAATCACTCCAGAATTCAACAATGATGCAATCAACAAGATTGGGACCCTCAAGTAACCATACTGAACCCTTAAAGAGCTAAGGGGAGGGGCGTTCTCAACCATTTTCCTGACATCTCTCCAGTGAATTTTTTTCATGAACCAAGCCTACAAGGAGTTTCCAGTAACTCTTTGTAGTCATTTTGACACCAAATTACAATCGAACATACTGTTCTTGGACAGCTGCCATTTTTCTGAGACAGGTAAGCCACAAATGTACACTTTTCCACTGCTGGGATTGATGCACACAGGATGCATGCGTGCGGCCTTGAACGTCTAATGACAAAACAACAAAATCATCCATCAGACAGAGTTGAGACTTCACATTTGTAATGATAAGGACTATCTGTACATGCCTGCCAAGGTTTAAGAAAATCAAGCACGGGACAGCCACGTTCTTAGGGGAGATGGATTTCTCCCCAGGCTGTAAGATAAGCTCTTTTAGGGTTAAATCTTGGACAGGATTGGCTTCAGAAGTTCTTCTTTACCGGCAGATATTTCTTGCGTGCCAGATCAATCTTCTGCTGCGTCTCTTCCGATTCCTCCACTCTCTTCTGTATCTCCTCTGACATCCTCTTGCTCTTGTCTAGTGTGTCCACCAGATCCTGATCATCCAAGATGTGACCTGCCGAACAACCCAACAGTGTCAGGTATTAGTTAAAATGGACTGAATGTGGCCATGTGTCAAGGATATTGGAAGCAAACCAGTGTGAGAAGCACTGCAGGGCTCAGTCCCTTCCGACAGTTTGGAGCTGAAACGTTGTGGAAACTGTCAAGGGATGAGACTGGGGGATGAAGACAAACCCATGAAACATCCAGCCATGTATATAATTTATCCCTTCGCAGAGGAAAAGGGCCTGATTCTTGAGTACAGTCCTGAGTGCCGAGTACCTTCTGATTTCTGTAGCAGACTGAGTGACTTGTCCTCTAAGTCTCGCAGCATAGTCAGATCCCTAGCTATGCTCTCCAGCAGTTCTCCCCGCTGTTGCTCCAAGATTGGTTGCTCCTGGTGCAAACACAGAGCAAATGATGAGTTAACTGATATTTTTTAATACAATCTGTCCATGGAATCAACCTCTCTGTTTTCTTCAATTCAGATTAACACTGGTGCTCTCACTTACTCAACATATTCACCTTTAAAACTAGTTCAACCCACCACCAACTGATGACTCAAACCCTGCAACTTCCCTTCACCAGTTTTAAACAACGAATTTCAACACAAAACCTTTGTTAAAAGTGGACTGTAAAAACATTAATCGTGGACAAAGAAATTTTGAATCAGGTGATGACATGGTTATAATCTATCAAACCGAGTTTACGCTTGGTACAGCCCATGTAGTTTTTCCGACAATTTACGAGCAAATTAGCCCGATAATTTTATTATTCATTAGTTCCAATATTTGCAGTTTTCTGAATTGTGAGAGGGCAAATACGTGACTATTCAATTGGTGGATATCAACCTGGAATTTCAATGAAATTAAGCCCCTCCAAGTTCAAATTTTAGAGGTTTTGCTGGGAGCATCATGCTGTGAAACATGGCGTAGTATTAATGTCTCCGGATGCGACCCAGGTGAAGTTAGGAGGTAAAATTGTGGGATATACACGGTGTGTTGCATTACTTTATTTTTCTGGTAAATTGTCTCTGAGCGCTTTCTAATTGGAATACCCTGAAAAGCAACATAAAAAAGCAACAGTGTCAATAAATACAGATCTGAAATACAGCTCTTCATATCTGAGTAACTATGGTACTCCATGTTAACAAACTTCAGATGACTGAATCTGTAAAACAAGCTTCAAGATACAAAAACAACTGACCTTCCAAGTTCTTTTACAATAGAGGCTACTAAATACATGTATACTTGGTCAGCTTCATTACTGTTACAAACTCCAAACTATCTTCTGAATCTCTTCTGAATAACTAGCTACAGTCTCTAAGTTTTTAAGAAGGGATCCCATTATTATAAAAGACGTTACCTTACCTACGTTTGAAGTTCAAATCTCTGATCGGTGTATTTTTCAACATGCCAAAAGTGTAAAAAGACACAATGCGACAAAATCACAGTCATCCAGAACGGAGGAGATACAAGAAACAACTGACCTGCTGTACGACAGTTGAGAGCAGCTGGTCTTGTAATCCATCAAAGGTGACTGTGAAGTTGATCAGGATGACCTTGATGCAGACGGCTGGCAGGTAGTGAGGATTTGGCATGGTTGTCGTCATGTACAACCTGGGAGAGGTGGAGATTAATCTTGTTAGAACGGATACAAGACAGGTTGTAAGTAACAGGGAGAATGACACAGGAATGCTTTTATGCAGTTCAGTTTAAGTTCAGGTTGTAGTTGAGAGCGTCACAAGATCGAACAAGAGACTTTGACGAAGGGATGCTTTTGTTGCAATTCACTTGAAGAGCTTGTGACTTGGAAGTTAGACTGAAAGTCTTGTGTTGGTCTTGTACCGATTCTGTGGATTATTGTGATGGTCTTAAGAGATCGTGACTACAACAGTTGTAGATATAAAAGCGAGGTTTGGTCAAGAGAGACCTTTACATGAAATGCATACATAATTTGTTCCCACATTTTTCACCTCAGACTATTAAAAGCAAAATAGGACTTGCCTTGTATTTCTGCTGACTGCCCAAATTTGTAAAAGATATGAAAAAAATGACACAACCAGGTTGTCAGGTTGGAGTAGTGGTGAAATACTTGTCTACCTCTACTGGCCCCAGTTTGAATCCTACTTTGCCATGATAATTAATTTGTCAGTTCCTACCTTATCAGTTTAATAGAGACACTTTCCTGTGGCATGAAACCTGATGTGACCATTTCTTTTGTGTCTGCTCCAAGGATTAACTTGTGGTATTTTAATGAAATTTACTTCCGAGGGTCTTTTGCTTATGACCAGGATAAACAAAAGCAAGGCTCAGTGTGGACAGTTCTCTCCTGACCTGAAGTGTTGGTTGTACTCAATTTCAGTGTCTCCTATACGGATGACATCTTGTCCCCCTTTACGGGTAATCTCTTTCATCAAGATGGGTCTCAATCCGGGGTCCAGTACCTCGGTCACATTCTGAATTAACAGGAAAAAAGCAAACCAAAGAACTGAGCAAGAATTACAACTCTGTCTTCCCAATAATATATGCACTGACCTCACTTCGGCTTTTTGTTTTACCAACAACCACTTTTACATTTACTGAGTCAAACTGTACTGTAAGCTTAGTTGATCAACACTGACACTATATGGTACTGACAAGGTTATCTTGAAGAGACCGTAGTTGAGAAACTTATCAGTGAAGTGGCATTTAAAGGGCTGGAGATGAAGGCTACACTTGGCAAACAGATCTTGAAGGGGGGGTGTTCATGCTGTCGACCCCACAAAGCAAATGACCAAATGGACAAAGTAACCTTCAGAACATGTGCAAGATTTCTGGAAAACATCTTTGAAAGAGCTGATATAAAAATATTAAATGCAGCATCTTTGAAAACCACTGTTCAAAACACCAATTATGAGGCCCTTCATCTGACCTTGAAATGATCTGACACCTTCTTACTCAAGAAAAAGTTCCATAATAGGAAATTAGTAATCGTGCCATCGATGCTAAAGCCACAGAAATGCTGTCCTCTACAGGAGTATTCCCAACTACAAGCTCTGAGAAGAAACAGACACCTACCTCTAGCAGCACCGGTTCTCCAACACGGATTGATGTCTCCAGGGTCCTCATGTAGTTGGGGTCACTGGCTTCAACTTTTTTGAGGGCTGATCCTTCCATCTCACAGATCCACCTGACGGAAAAAAGGGGGAAAAAACTAGCGAAAGTGGCAAGTATGGAGTAAGTCACTAAACTGCACAAGGAAATTATTCCACACAACGCTGTTACGATATAACACGATCAACAAAAATTGTTTTCAATTACACTACTCAAAAACAAGTTAAGGACCACTTTTTATTTTGTGTATACTTTTTATATACGAGATATTTTATTGCTGAAAATACCCCAATGCAGCTGTCCTGAATAACCTTAAACACACTGTAATCAATTTCACATGTGGTGGGTTTCAGTTGTTAGAAAGTGGTCCTTAACTTGTTTTGAGGTGGCATAATTGGAAAACAAAGCCAACAGAGTATTCTTTCTTTCTTCCATTTCCCTGTAACTGCTGACTGAATCCAAGCCCAGCCCTACAAATTCTATGTGAGCTACACTCTGGAGGGTTAGGGTTAAATGAACTTCTTGAGCAAGTTCAAATGAGGCTTTGGCCAGAATTGGCCAGATGTCAGACTTACTTGTGTGCCTGTCCCTGCGGGTCAATCATTAGGGGCCAGCGGTGGCCCATCTTGACAAAGATGGCATTCTCTGTAGAGTGGCCATCCTGGGGTAGACCCTCCGTCTGCCACTTACGCACCTGTCAATCATGGCAGGAAATATCCGTCAGCAGGAATTACAAGTAATCCTCCCTCTCTTGGATACAATGTCCCATCTCCCAATGTTCAGAGATTCTCTTCCCGGTAATAACGTCGACACCCCTACACACCAATCCAATGTAAAGCCATAACTGTGGTAGCACCGCACTCACACGCACATTGTTCATCTTGACGCACGCATGCATTTGGCAAAACACAACACCCTGTTGGACCAAGAGGCATGTAATGCCTGCGTACCAGCCGTCTGACCACAGTACCACTGCAGTAATGGCTTCTCATTCTGGTTGTCGAATATGGGTGTTTCACAATAGCACGCCTCCAAGGGTTTGCAACACATTGGACAATCACAATGCACAAATTCTGTTGACCTGATGTGCATTTGGAAAGGGTCGTCAAACTTTGCATGTTGCTGAACTCTTTGAGGTGCACTATTGTAAATCACCCCATTACATTATATGGCAGTGGGCTCTGCCTTGTCATATCTATTCATGTGAACCCCTCACAGAACCCGTGTTGTTGGCCCTCCCAAATCACAGTCACCATTGCACCAACCGTGTTAGGCTCATGCGTAGCCCCCAACATTTAACACAGACAACCCCATGCTTGCCATGTTAGAATCTACATCATACCCTCCTCTGATATGTATCCCTCAGAGACATCTCACCCCTCCCCCATACTCACCGTGTTGGGCTCAGTCATAGCTCCAATCAGCGTGTACCCCTCAGAGACAGGGATCTCTTTCTCTTTGCAGGCCGTCCACCATTTCTGAATCATGGCCTTGCGGTAGGGTGCGGTGAACACCGCCAGGTAGGCTATGCTAGCAGCAGAGACTAAGGTGTCGCCCACTACACCTTTGAGTTTGGACTCTAGGTCAACCATGGAATCCTCCCAACGAATCTGTGGAAGGACAGAAAGGAAGTTAAGTGATACAGAGAGCTAATGAAGGTTACTGTGACAATTCCAAATGGCACAGATTGGTGGAAACTAAGGAACAAATACAACCAAATCTTCTAACCTCTTAAACGTAGACTGACATTAACGACCTGCGAGACATAACCAGTCATGTGGACAAAAGTGAATCATTTTGTTTTTGTTTTGTAAATTTTCCACTGCCATCAATTAGAAGAGTCTATCATAAGTCAATTTTGAGTGGCTTGTGACTTGGCTTACGACTGGATGACTTGCGATGGACTTGCAGGGACTTGTGATGGATTTGTACGGACGTGTAATGTACTTGTAGGTAACTGTGATGGATTTGTACGGACGCGTAATGGACTTGTGAGGACTTGACTACATCACAGCAATTGATTCCTAGTTATTCACCTCCATACCTTTTCGCCAGCCAGTGCTGTGATGAGGACAGACGCCCTCTTCAGTCTCAGCGTGGTCAGTGCCTTGCGCTCCCGCAGCGATTCCCGCTGTGCAACGCTGTCATCGTACTGCTGCTGCAGCAACCGTAGGTGTTCTTGAATCTGCAGATGAAACGAGGATCATCAAAGATCAACAACTTCTCTAACTGGAGATCAACTAACACTTTTCCCAACTGAAGCCACCAGAAAAACACAAGGCAACACCAGCAACTCAAGTTAAATATATGACAGCTTTCATCTACAAAAACTTGCCCATTAATTCCACATCAAAAAGAAATTATCTTCACATTCCCAGTTTTCCTTACAAGTGTGCCTTGCCAAGAGATGCATCAGAAGGGAGAGGAATGAACTAAGAATGCTCTTTACCTTGAAGAGGCTGGCCTGTTTCTCTTGGAGGCTCTCCTGGGCAAGACTAAGGGCTTCCTTGGCTTCCTCCACCCGCTTCTGTTTGGGCTTCACCATCTGAAAAGTTCAAATTACGAGGCTTCATGGCGACGTTACATATCAGAGACATAAGCATTTGGAATGGGATAAAGCAGTACACGTAGTGACAACAACTGGACGACAGACCATCAAATATCTACAAGTGAACATTTTAACAGTCGTGTAAAGAAAACAACAGGTGCCACAGACTGATGCAATCTAAGGCTGTTGGTTTTGCGGATTTACCAATGCGGATGCAGCGCAAGCGCCCGGTTGTGGAGAGATTTGCAGCTCTTCACACCAATCAACCAAAACATTATGAAGTATTATGAAAGATACACAAAATGGCCGACACACAGGCTACAGACCTTGCAGACTTCTCCATAATGCTGCAGGGCAAGCACCCACTGGCAGATGGACTTACAGGCCAACGATACCTCCCCCACTTTCTCTGGGATGAAGTCTGGCATGGAGGTGTACTTCTTTAGTAAGCCATAAACCTGGAAGGAAAAGGACAACAGTAAAAATTGTTCAGTTTGCAATTGTCGATTCGAACATTTTCAGAGCAGCCAAAAGATTTCTAATAAAAGCTTGAAGGTCAATTGTTTGAAACTCGACTTCAAATTAATCTATTTCAAGGTTATTTGGAAACCTTACTCAGTTTGGCGAGTCATTTTTACTATGTGTGGCAATAGGAGCCTTTTCCTTCAAAAAAAAAAAGACCTTGTATTTCTTGTTAATATTATTAATAACTGTTTGACTATTATTAATGAAACCAAAGACTCTTCAATAGCACTTATGGCACTGTATCTCACAAGCCTGAAGAAACCTTTACAGGGAAGATTATGAAGAATTGTTCAGGTGGGAGGAAAGCCCCACTCAAATTTTTCAAGGAAAACTTACAGAATCAGGTAGGGACTGAAAATCCAGTCCATATGCTGACCCGGGTGAGATTCAAACCCAGATCGCTGAGGTGGAAGGTGAGGAAAGTAACCTGACTTCCCTAAGAGAATAATGCATCCCTACCTTGTCCGGCACGCTGTTCTTGTCAAACATGACCAGTCTCTTAAGGAAGCTGGGGTCGGCCAGGAGGTGCTTGGAGGTGCTCCATTCCGGCTTGTGTCTTAGTAGCACACAAACGGCTGCCATGACCTGCTTGACCAGGATAGGCGGGTTGGTGTAGACGCGGATCTCTGAGATGTCGGATTTATCCAGAGAGTCCAAAGCAGCTATGGCATCCTGCAAGGCCGGCATGACGGACTGAAGGTCCTGTTGGGCTTGCTGTGGGTTTCAGTGTGGGAGATAAAGAGTACTTACTGTTACCTGAGAAATCTTGCAGCACGTCATTGAGTTCTACCTGAATAGACTAATGGCCTCTTTCGCATACAAGCTCTGGGATAGCACTGAGAATAAGGAATAAACGACCATGACCCAATTTCATGGTGCTGCTAAGCACGAGAGTTTATGCTGACAGAGGCTTCACATATTGCACGCAGACTGGAAGCAGTAAGCACAGCAAAAGACGCGCTTACTTTGAGGAAGAAATTTGCTTAACTTAGTGACATAACAACAGAAATCTCTCTGTGTGCGCTTCCATTGGGGGGACCTCACCAAGCATGGCCATGAAACAGTGCTTAAAGTCACCAAAATTCTCTGCTGAAGTAAGCACATCTTTTCTGCTTACTGTCAAGCAGCTCCTTGAAATTGGGCCCCTTTTGTCTTAATGAAGTAATGGGGGCATAGTTCACAGAGGCATACATGTACATGACTGGTATATGTAAATTTATTTGACTGAGGGTGCCGTTCCATCTGTGCATTTTTGGTTGGTTCCAAATGCGCGTCGGGTTACATTTCATTCCCGTACAGTTAAATGGACACTTACTACAATTTAGTCATACAAACGGCAATGCGCACCAAAAACACTTCTACAGAGAGGTACCCTTACACCAATCACTTTCACCTTGGTCAAGCACCGATGAAGGACCATACTGGCAGAGGATCAAACAAATGTACTGGAATTTCACATACATTTTCATCTTAAGGCACTCAACAACACTCTCAAATTCCACACTGACTAAAATTTCATGGACCAGACTCGGGTTTACTTCAGGGGTTGATGTGACAAATGAACTAGATCTAGACCAATGGTAGATGTGTTTGCCAAGACCTCCTTATGCTTCCTCGGATAGTGCAAGCATTTCATGGTCACTTCGAATCTATTCAGGAAGAGCCTGTAGGTACCTCATGCCATAATCACATCCTCCTCATCTGATCCCCTTTGTACCATTTTGAAAAGAAACACTATATTTAAGGATTTCCTACTGGGATGATACCAGGTGTTTTGACTCACATCGGCGTAGTCTTGCACAATCTGCGTTTCTCTCTGCATGGTAGCCTCTTCCTGCTCCACGATGAATCGTACCTGATCAACTGCCTCCTGGTCCTTGGATAACTGCTCCAGGAGCAACTCTGTGTCCTTGATGACAAAGATAGACCAAAATCCCCCAAGATTACACCTGTGACAAAAGCCTTCCACTCTGATCAGGCAACATACCAGTTGACCTGTTTGGCCAATGCTTTCTCCCGACTTCAGGAGACTCTGGACGTTTGACTGAGAGCATCCTTCTTGTTCTGACTGAATATACCACTTGTTACTGCTTGAAAACAGTCTATGCAGGCATTCTTGAATGCATTAAGCATGCCAGCATTGGCAAACACTGTATATCTTAACTGCTGATGGCATTATATTTATACACATACAGGTATACTGTACTACTGGACATGCCCCTGAGGTGTTCCCAAATGGGATCATTTAATTACATGCTGGTCATGGTGCTCAAGAACAGGTTGTTCTTGAGTGGAATGAACAGAGAACAATATTGGCTCAAAATAGGAATGTTGCATGTTGAAAGAGGAACATTCTGGAGTCTCAAGACATTCTTTTGGTGTGCTTTGCCGATTGGAATCAAAACTTAAACCTTTCATTCCCTCTTGAAAATTTGAAACCACAATGATCTAAAGTAAAAGTTTACATTGCAAAAATTGTGAATCGAGTCTTGAAGTTCAACAGTAGGCTTTTCCTATCTTCACTGCACCTTGTTCATCTCATCAAAGACCATAGGCTTGGTGCACAAATCTTTGTCAACCCTTTGCTGTATCAGTCTGCGGTATGAAAGTTATGGATCTGGCAAAATGTAGAGCTCAATGAATGAACAGTTTCCCACAGCAAGAAAAAACTTCCTCTCTTCATTGTTGGACTGTTTGGCTTCAACAGGGTTCAAGTTAATTGATGTCAACCCAAATCTTCCCTTACCCTTGCTTTCTCTTCAATCTTAGGTCCCAGGTTCACCAACTCTTCCTGCATGGCATCGACTAGGGAGTTAGCTTCCGACAGCTTGGATAGGCCGATAAACAACCGATTCCTTAGTGGAGAAAAAAAGACACGAACAAAACCATACCTCATAATACAACACATGTGTCACGGCAGAAAATGGAAAGAGGACAAATTGGCAGAAAGCTACTCACTACAAGCTTAAACCATGTGCCCAAAAGAACTTATAGGAGAATATTACTCAAAGGCATACAGGACTGGCACATGTATACAAACTGAATGTGACTGGTACCAATCCCCTTCACCTTGGTCACAATTTCAACTTCCCCTGTCAACAAGAAAATGACAAATTAGGTACCACATAGCCTTCCAAATACGGGCGGAACTAAGATTAAATCCCAAACATGATGAAGTATATGGACATCTTGATATTTATTGTGCCACCTGATGATATCAGTCATTGAAAGCTTTTCCCCCGAGGTTTCCAAATTTTTTTTAAGCTTCCACAGATCCTGTTCACCAGCTTTGATTATGCCAAAGTGAAAGTACCCCAATCCTGGACATGAACATTTGAATACCAAAACGCCTTCTTTGCCTGAACTCACTTGCTATCCATGACACGCTGTTTCTGTTCTCTCAGCATGTTAGAGTAGAGCTTAATAAGATCCAAGTAGCTACTTGGAGTGATGTAGAATCGTCTCCTCATCTCCTCGTAATACTTGACTGTCTGCTGGGTGATGTCCTTGTGGATGTTCACGCACACGTGGGCTATGTTGTCCTTCAAACTCTGTTGAGGTATACAAAGGTGGTCGACAGATGGACCCTTGTTATAAACTGAGGGATATGTGCCTCAGTTTTCATCATACACCAGTGGTGGGGTGAGACCTTTGATGCCGATATTTTTGAATGCTATGCAATGTATGCTACCATTGTGCAGACACATGCCTGGAGTAAAGATCTGTACAATGTCTGAATATAAAAACTTGCACATGCCAGTGATCGACAAAATCAATGCATCCAATGACTCGGCATCGCTTGTCATCACTCACCCCTCCCTCAGGTACTCACCGAGGAATCCTGGTCACCACTGATGCCTTGGAAGTCGACCTGCCCCAGGTAGACGTGAGCCACTCTCAGCATGGCCTCGTCGCTCCACTCATCAAACCAGTCCAAAGTGCAGCAGTTGACCAGGGATGGGTGGGTCCGGCATCGCTGACGGAAGGCATCTCCTGCCGGGCTGGTTGCCAGGACAACGTGGAGGCGGGAGCGCACACGCTGTCAGAGAGGAAAAATATCATCAGCAAGTCAATCAGTTTTTTTCCAAGAGTTTTGTTTCACTGACAACTTTGTTGACATACTCTCTTCCATGCTTGCAGTAAAACTGCGAAATGACAAACCAAGTGTTTAGTGACTGAAACGTTTTTCAATTTTTGAAATAAAGTGGTCTTTGAAAATAACTCACCCTACACAATTTTCAACCAAAATCTGCATTTGTTGTAGGATAAAGTGCACAGAAACATGTTCTCAGACCAGAAGCATGTCAACAGGGGATGCCTACTGCAAAGTGACAGAATGAAGCAGATGGACCCAAGGGAGATGGGCACCTATTAAAGACTTTGTAAATCCCTGCAACAGTCAAAGAAGGTACAAAAGTTTCTTCTCTTCCAAATTTCTCAGGAGGATTTCGAAGTGTCCTCTGCCATCCAATCGCATACCTGGATGAAAAACTGGTACACGGCTTCCCTGGTGTCTGGAATCTCGGCCTCTGCTGCAGCTCTCTTCATGTCCATGGTAATGGAGTCCAGATCATCATTGTCAAACAAGTCGGGTACCTCGCCGGAATTCAGCACACAGTTGATGTCCTCCAGGAAGGTTTCCTGCAGAAATTAATACAAACAAAGAGACGCACTTTCTAAATCTGGCAGTAGATTACAGTTTGCTTCGTACAGACAACCTTCTAGTCTTAAATTGGAGCACACTGGTATAATCAATCACGATTTGCCTTCTGGCTGTGGCAAACTGCACAAATTAATGGCAACTGACTTTCACAAGCAGGCAACAGCGTAAAGACCATCCAGGTGGCCTTGATTGATTGAGAAAGCCACAGCGATCCCTTGAAGGCTCCTCCACTTAGCCCATGATAATATCACACCCAACCAGCCCCACCTTGATGATATCACTGTCCGTCAGCAGGAAGACCGTGTTGCTGTCCTGCACCCCGGCGATGTGGAACACCTTCTTAAGGTCATCCCTGAAGTCGGCCTGGCCATAGCCCCGGGTCAGGGTCAGTCGGTAGAGCACACAGCCAGACACATGGCTGGCCAGCTGGGCCGTGGTGGCCTTGCCCGTTCCGTCCAGGCCGACTAGCACCATGTGACCGCCCGGTTGGTTGAAGACACGGGCGGCTCGCACAATGTGCTCCAAGGCCTCCTTGAAGAAGATGAGTTGGGAACCCTGCAGGAAGCATTAAAATCATTTCAGTAAAGTACTACATCCTTATCTTTGTGCTAAAAATACTAGTGCTCACTCACGAAGTAAAGCAACTTTGACTAAATTAAATCCAACAGCATTTTTCTGTCACTGGTGGTAAGTGATGATCAATATGATTAAAAGAAGATCAATCCAGTGATTTTGTAATCATACCTTACATATGCCCCCTCCCCCCAAAAAACACACCAACAAACAAACAACTGCGATGATGAAACCAATGTGTGCTACTTTGAAGAGTTACAAAATCCTTCTGCTTATGTCGGGAAAAACGTATTACCTCATATTGCCAAATATCATTCCCTCAAAATGCATGCCATTTCTTTAAAATATAAGTACCTTCAAAACGATATAATTCTAGTCAAACAGTTGATTACACAGAGAGTCAATAAATTCTTTTTTTTCCTCTAATGTCTCATACCTGCCCACTGCCATAGTCCACTCGCACCATATACTCCTCCAGTATCTGTGCTAACTTGTCATAATCGCTGATGTGACGGTAAACTCGATCAACGGAGGGTGCGTTCAGGTCCAGGAAGTCACCAAATAATATGGGCTCATCATGAAGCTTCTCAGGCGTCCATTTGACCTGAACAGAACAAGGGTGCACGACTAAAGAAAGAAATGTTGGAGGCTAAACGCAGGCTTGCGAATTTACAGAGTGCTCTCTGTAAATCTACAGGTATGCTGAAATTGTTACCACTGCCAGCGTTAACGTCCCCGAGTTTCCATCTGCTAACCTCAATCATCATGCGAAAATTCATATAGAGGGTTTGCATGGCTGCCATACCGCTGGCCAGTGCTTTTGTTTAACAGGTTATGCACAAAGGAGGTTTCCCTGTGGAACAAAAGAACTTCCCTGTAAGATGGTTACCACGCAAAGCCTCTATTAAAGTTGCATGACTGACGACTCAACCAAAGACTAAAGATTCCAACCTAGTCCCAAAATCAAAAAAAAACCAACTATAACAAAGCAGCTTCTTCCTTCGAAAAAATTCTGACAAAGTTAAATATCTGCACTTGGAAACATCCAATTCCTGCAAGCTTTAGTCAAGCAGACCCCAGGAATAAAAGGAGCTAGCTGCCTCATTACACATCAACCAGGAAAGTATTAGGAGCTGTGGATCCCTAGCCTGTCCTCACTCAATGAGTTCAAGTATCCAGACTGTGCGCCTAACCAACTAGGTTACTCTGATTTGGGAGCAACATTCATATACGGTGGTGTCTGCTTTTCGGGTGATCTGTTTCATGCCACAAAACCAGGCCACTACAAACCTTGAAGTAATTATGGAGATCATCAGCCAGGAACTCAAAGAATCTGATTCTATCTGGCTCATCGACAAGTCTGTCATGGAAGACGCGAGTGGCTTCATGGGCTAGAAGCAAGGCAGCTGAGTCAGTTGACGTTATCACAGTCTCATCGGCTTGCAATAGACCCTGGATGACCTGCAGAATGAAATGGTTAAAGGATGACAAGACGTCAGCCTGCTGGATGATAAAGGTCAATATGAAGAAAACCAACATTGTAGAGAATGTTTCTATGGCCAGATGAGCGGCCTTTCCCAAGAAAAAGAGCCAGAAATTTTCAAAAATTAACTTTCTGCTGTTGACAGACTGACACACACCTTTGACAAGTCCCTTAGGTTGAAGGTATAGTGAGATTTAGCTGGCGTGGGCAGCATATTAACACACATCTTGTAGTAAACAGCGATGGACGCCGATACCAGGGGAGTCAGGAGCTCTCGGATTTCGGGCAAAAAGTTCTGGTTTTCCAGGAAGCGGCCCAGTTGGACTTGGTAGATATGCTGCAGGGAGCGGACTGAGGGTTGAGGCAAGGCCATCATGCTGGGTTGAAAGTAGGAAGAAAGAATCTTGAGAAGTTGTCCAGAATGTGATGGTCCATGGTGTCAGAGTATGACATATCAAGAGAGGGTCTTAAAAGGCTTAACGCCAAAGAACATTCCAAAAACACCACCCACTTGTTCCAATCAGGAACACCTGCTGTTCCAATACAGAACAATGCATGCTTCTGATCGGGAATACCGGTCTAAGTGTGCGCACTCTACTTTGGGAACAGGGTGTTCCCAATGGGAACACAATGATTTCCCAGCAAGAATACCCAGTGTTCCATACAGACTAATACCGGGAGATGCCCCTACTTTGCTAGTGTCATACTAGAGAGCGTGTTCTTAGACATGAGTTGCGTGCATACACTTGGTAAATCACAGTAGCCTATTGGTTAAACAGGCACACAAAGTGGGCGTACCACCTGTCCATAGCATGGTGCCACTGCTAATTCCAGTCACATGACTGGTCCAACGGTGCATTACAGTAGTGACAGGAACATTCCAACATTTGATAGGCTTCCTCAGACTGATAATCATATTCAATATTGTTGGTTTCCTTGCACACCACACTTTAAAGAGCCACCTTCAACAAAGAGCACTTCAAGATCAAATATTTCTAAGACTTTTGCAGCACTCGGCCAACGCCGTATCCTTTTTTATTGATCACAGTTCTTACAAGCCATTTCAGAGTACTGTTGCATTGCTACTGCAGCCTACAGTGCACACAGCAATGAAATTAAGAATACCCCACAGGCTAATTTCAGTGGAAAACACCGTTTGTTACAAAGATGTCCTTTTCTCCTTTTTTGTGCACCCGGACATCGAATTCAACAGGGGCTGTGCCACTGGTAGATTTGTGACAGTAGGGAAACTATTGATTTGGGCACTTAACTCTACAAGGTTGGAATGGGGTTGTTTCGGAGCTCAGTCACCGTTCCAACTTACCAGAAATGTTTGAGAAGTCTTGGGCTGACTGGGTTCCTCCCACCTCCCATGGGAGCACACGCCCCACAAAGGGTCACATCCATGATATTCTGATCAAATTCAAAGAAAAATTTCCAAGACTGTAATTATTGCCTTTGATGAAAAGCTATGTAAATTTACACCGTGTAGTGCTCACGACATTTCTAAAAGGTAGAACTTGACAACCATGATGTTATCATTTTATTGTGCTAAACAATGCCAACAGGACCACACAAAAATTGTCATTCTTTTTGTTGCGGTCCGGCCCTCTGGACGATTGCTCGAGGGTGGCAGCCCATCTGAAACTGAAGGGGGAATTGGAGGCCAGGCAAAAACAGATAGCTCAACAGGCACAAGACTTAGGTACTTAAAAATGGGCTGGATTCCTTATATTTCACCGTCATTGATGAAAACTGCTTGGACAATATGTGTATTAAAGAGGCTACAATCTATGTGTTTCCCAGCGGAGCCATCACCGTGTCTATCCACCCAGTTGTTTAGCAGCAGTCCCCCCAAAAAACCTTGGAAGCCCGCCAAACTTGTTCAGTCCTGCCAAAAGGTATTGTAGGCCACTTCTGGCTGACAAGCTTGACATCGAGAAAATACATGTACGTTCGAACTGTGCACTTGGGCCTTGCTATAATCATACCTTGAAGACGTGCACAAGGTTCAAAGGTCACATAATTCACTGATTTAACTGGGGAATTCCCAGACCCTTACAATAAATACCTGGGACAGTTTTTCTTTTCCTATTGGTTGAAACACGTCATGGTATATTAACATTTGATAATTACCTGCTGTGCACTAGCACATGGATAGGAGACAGTTTAATCGGGTCTGATTGGTCAGGAGTCTGTGTGCACGCAAAGCATCACGCACATGCCAAGTTCTTTGAAGGGATTCTATCGGACAACTTTTCAGGACTATACCATAAAATTGATGGGGGTGTTTGGGAAAATAAAAGTAAAGTTTTAGAACAAAGTCGTTGGAAATCTATCATGTGTTGACTTCTTTTGACTCTCTGAATAAAAAACGTATTTATGAATGGGAATAAATATGTGCTTGGCCGGTCTTAAACGAACATTTAAGACTGGCTAAGCACATATTTATTCCCTTACTGAATGTCAACTCTTCGCAGAGTAACTTCAATTAAAATGAAAGTGTACCTTCCACACAAGTTTCTTGGTGTCGTAAAATCCTCCAAACTCTAGGAACTGTCTCAGCAGTTCCAGTGGGGGCTGGGCTCCATAGGCTTCAGGGGCGGGAAGGTTGAGATCGTCCACAAAGACCAGAACCTAAGACAGGAAAGACCAATCAATGATCCTGTTGATCTAACTTTGTCATTTTGTTCACCAGTCATCCATTCTATGCAACACTATTTCATTTCATTCTTTTGGCACGTCAACCAAAGAAAAAAGACGTAAAAATTGGCCGACCTAAAAATTGACTTTATTAACAAAACACACGTGTATGTTGCGTTTGGCCATCAAAATCATGAGTGATTTTGACAGATACGCAACGCTTGGTGCAAGTGTTGACAGAAAGTGTTGATGGAAACGCTCCTTTAAGCTGTCTGCTCCCTAAGGAGATGGTCTTTTAAAAACATTCAACTGTTACGCTAAAGTGATGGATAATGCATTGTTTATTATTGGAGATGCACATCTTGGGTCACTTTTATACCTTCTTGCCTCGTGGCCCCACCATGGTGTCTCGTCCCTTCTTGATCAGCTTGTGCTCAATCTGTGCCCGTACCCTAGCCGCCGTGGTCTGGGCACTCAGCTGTAGAGTGGTGGCTACCATACCACTGGTGGGGCGCCGTACTTGACCAGTGATGAAGGTCAAGTCCATGGTGTCTGCTACGCCAAGACCTGGAAGGGTTTATGGCACGTTATTTCAAAACTACAAACAATGACATCAATGGCATAGTGACGCATGGGACCTGCTTAATTAACCTCTGCAGCAACTAGCTCAGATTGTGTTTAGAGCAATAATATCCTGACGTGTACTTCTCCAAATACTAGAGCACATAGTCCCACTATGGGCATGATGGGATGCCTTGCAATACTTTTGAGTTTCATTCTTAAGATCTGAGATTCCAAACAAACAGACATGAGGTGTACACAACACTCTCAGTAATAGTTTCAAGTGAGAAGATTTCATTAACTTGTTGAAGAAAACTGGCTAAGTTTCCATGTTGAAAAGTCTGACTCATATAAAATGACACTTGGTGACTGTGATTGTTTTTTTCCTTTGAAATAGTATATCCAATGGTTGGTTTGCCGGTTTGCTTTTGCTTAACCAAGCAAGGCTTTTCATTTTCGCTCACCGCTGTCTCCGTCATCTTCTCCTAGTATCCCAGCTGTCAAGGCACTGATATTGGATAGGATGTTGGTGCCCCTCTCAGAGTAATGGAAGACATCCCCCAGGATGGTACCCAGCTGAGTGGTGGCCCCTTTCTCTTTGCTCAAGAGTTTCAGCATGTGGTTGATAATGGCCGATTTGCCTACACCAGAATCGCCTGAAAAGGAAAACGTTAAAATAGAGACAACTCTGAAGAAAGTAACACCGCTTTTCTCATGTTTCTATTCAGTAAAGAACTGACTGTAGCAATAGGAATTTTTTTGCAACTGTTGGTTGAATTATGATATGTATTAAGTGCTACTTAATAATACTTAATAATGGTACAAATGTGTTTATTTACTATCTGGTACCATGAAACACAGAACAATTTACAATGCACTAGGGAGGAAAAATGTATTCAAAATCCAGGGTATATATTTTTGTTACTTTTGATTTTCCATTAGTGACTAAGTTCTCTGTGGCAACTTCCATGAGGAACCAAAACTTCATGCTCCTGTTTACAACAGCTGTGTCTGAATTACTTGGCTACGGCTCAGAATAATCCACACGCCCATGGAAGTCACCAGTTAGCGGCATCATACATTTGCCATAGAATCATGAATTATTTCAAGCCGTAGATAAGTAATTCGGACAGGGCCTAATTCGAGGGTCCCTTTAGTGGGGCTGTTCAGCATAAAAACAATAGACCCAAATAAAACATGCATGCTTAGCAATGTCAACTGGTGCTTACTGCATTGCTTGTGCCAGCTGACTTTTTCCTTGAAGCATGTAAGCCTGCTATGCTTAGCATGTAAGCCTGCTAGGCAATTCCTGAAAATGAGCCCAGATGCCTTATCTATTGAGATCAGAGAGTTCCCAACCTGTGAGCAAGACTGGGTGTCTGTTGACCAGAAGCAACCCGGCCAGGAAGGAGTAGCGGACGGTATCCACTGTGGGCACCAGCTCGTTATCCTCCCGCGTGGCTTTCTTGCTCATCTGGGTGGTCAGCCCCATCTGTTCCCCCAGGGACACGTGACTGACCCCCTTGTCAATCAGGGACTTGGTGGACGGCACCAGCTCGTCCCAGGGCACAAACTTGCCGCTCTCGGCGCTGACGAAATAGTGGAAGATGGTACGGCTACCAGAGGGCAAACGCACACCTGTCAGGGCAAGAATGTGTCAAACAAGACTGTGGGATGATCTCTTAACCACTTCCTGCCAGGGATTCCGGATCCGGACACGTATGCTTTATATGCGTGGCCGGGGTATCCCAACTCGGACATAGGGGAAAGGGCCTTGTAAGAAAAGACCGTACTCGGAACAAAAGACCAGGCTGCTGGGCATTACTGACATTTTTTCACTCAAAAGTGGAGATAATTCAGCCTTGCTTTGAAACAATATACCACGGTTTGAGGCATTTAAAGCAAGCCGATTACCACCGGGGACAAAAGCGCTCTTCCACCGCAGCAATGAGCCACACAGCACCGCTACATGCTAATCTGGCCCCTATTGAAAAGAGGTCAGCAGTGCACTGAGCCAGGTTCGTAAACAAAAGAAACTTGTATAACACCGCACAATCTGGGCTCTTTTTACAAGGCTGCAGGCCTGGCTGAAATACTCGTCAGGCGTCAATAGATTTTGTCTGTCAGGCTAGAGTGGACAAAAGACAATCCTTCATGTGTTTGTAATTGTCCCGCAAATGAAGATAGGAATTTTTAAAGAATTTTGAAAACAGAAAAAAATGATAATTATCCTGGACCAGCATCATCAACATTAATAACTGCCCCCGGCAGCAAGTGGTTAAAGGATCAGATTGTTAAAGTCCTTTTCAGAATATGGGGAGGGACCTCTTCTCATTAGCTTTAACTTTTGATCCGAAAGGGACAATGAACAAGAGAACCTGGCACCTTCCTTGCCAAATAAACTTCTATTTCATCATACCTAACACCATAATTTGACAATTCACATAGTTTTCAAAGTTTCAAAATATGATGGACGCCTGCAGCCATGGTGCCATTAAGGGATGCCCTGAATTTCTAGGCGACAAACATCGATGCATACCAAACAGGCAATGAACAAGAGAAATCTGTCTAAACACTATTAGTCCGTAACTGCACCATGCTGACATGGCGTACAGTCTGTTGACTAATCTTGACAGAAATTCTGTAAATACCAAAAGGCAGTGCCACCCTGGGACTCAGACTTCAAAGGTAAGTATGAGCCTGTTCTTCCCTGGGTTGTTAAGATATTGACAGAAAGAGGTGCATTTGCAAATAACTAACAGTTAATCAAATTCTGGTATAACTTCGCAGGTGCTAACATACCCAGAGGTGGCTCTGTGTCAAACATATCATGCACAAAGGTGTCAAACTCGTAGGCAATGTTGAGGTCAGGGACTTCCACCTTCTTTCCCTTAGCTCCACCCCCTCCCCCGGGCATCCGAGGGGCTACTGAGATGCCACCATCGTCTTCACTGTCATCTTCCCTCTTCAGGTTGCCACCCACAGACCAGGTATAACAGAAGACAAAGATCTTGCCGAGTAAGGTCAGTAACTGATCTGGGTACTTTACCAAGTACCATTCCTTTGAGCTGAAATGTGACAAAAGAAAGAGTTTAACCATTGAATGGAGCTGATGAACAGAGTCAAACTGGATCTTGTCTTTATATGGACAATTCTGAGGAAGTTACTCAAAGCCTGCAGGCAATACTGATTAAAGTTTAGCTTTATGGATGGCTATTTCTGGTTATAAAACCAAGGATGCCTTGACGCTGTTGCTCAAAAGTCTGAGGAAACCTTTTGAGAGGAGACAATGAGAAGCAGTTACAGTTTTAGAGGTGAAAGGAGAACGCCAAAAGCATGTTCTGGGTGAAACCCAAGGACTCAAGTGCAGCCTGAAAATCCAATTCACATGTCTGTCTGCCTGAGTGGGATTTGAACCCGAGCCAAAGAGGTGAAAGGCAATACTACTATGACAATCTGGCTCACCCTTAACACACCACATTACTAAAACCAATTCTGCCAAAGACACAGCTGATGCTCACTCCTTCAACAGAGTTTTTATAATGACTAATTGATTTCTCCTTCTTCAAAGAGCACAACTCAGGGTTATCAGAGAAGCTACTAAACTGCTGACCTGTGTTTAGATTGCTGTCTCAGCTTCTCCTTGCGTTCTTTTTCTTTCTCCTTCTCTTTCTTCTTCTCTTCCCTTCTTGATCCTCGTCTTCCGTTGGAGCGAGAAGCGGGGCGACCTGAGCTGTCGGCACTTGCTGGACGCTCTTCATCTGTAGAATGCACAGCAAGCCATTATTGGTGGTGTAACAAAGCTGTTTAAAAACTTTTTCTGGGTTCAACCCGTTTTAACTTGTTTCCTGACTTAGATGTGGTTGTTTTCCTGCAATATTATGCAGGAAACTGCAATCTTGTAAGCATGTGCACATTGCCTAACGGATTTCAAATTTTACAAAAAGCCTGAAATCCTTCAACAATTTTTGCAACCTTACTAGGAGTCCTGGAATTTGTGTCACGTGTGGGGAGGGTAGCAATGTATAAAGTAAGGCCAAAATGTCCTGGAATAAAATGTACTGACACGGTCAATTTTGCTCTGCCGTTATCAGCTTTTGATCAGACATTATACCAAGGTCACATCAAATCAAACTCCTGTGATTTTGACTTTGGGAATTCTATGTCAGACTTGACCACACCTGCACACCAAAAAAGGTTGGGATATGGCTGACGTCCAATTACAATTTCTGGCTCTGGAATAGGACCCTCAGCCATGCCTACTTCTTGCTACTCCACTAAACTTGAACTCTTCAGAATTGATTTAAACCTCCTCAGTTTGTTGACGTTACAAAAACTCCCTCCAGCCCCCTCCACTTCCTTTTCTCCTCACATTGGGTCTCTTCTTTTGCACTGACCTGGGTTGCCATAGCCCCCGTTCTTGCCCAGGAAATCCAGGAAAGCATGCAGCAGATGGCACAGCATGGCCACGATGCTCATGTCGGTGGCTGCTACGATCTGATAAGCCGAGTAGAGTCGCATAAACTCTAACCCCTTGTCCACGCTCTTCTCAAAAAGTTCGTGGAGGTGGCGTTTGCCGCTCTCAGGAATCTAATGCCATTATGGGAACAGAAATGTCCGTGATAGAATGAACAGCCACACTTTGGAGAGGTTTTGGCAAGAATTGATCGGTACATCTCAAAAAGGTGACAAATATCTGTGTGACTGTATTGGACTAATAAAGGGAAACTGTTCCCCATTTCAGTGAGAGGTAAATTTTTCCAAATTTGAACTCATCTGGTACTTTATTAATGTAAAGATGCTGTAAACACTTATTCCACCACATCACACAGTTTTGATCTGCAAGGCACTGGTAATGATAAATTTATGTGGCCAAATGGGATATATTCAACATCAATCTTTAAGCAGTCAAAATTAGCTATTCTCAGCAGACAGTTTAGATTCTTAAACCATATCATAACTGGTCCACTCCTTTGCTACCAAGTCAGAGGGCATGTCCAAATTAGTGCAAAAAAGACCGACATTTAAATTTAATACACAAAAGATGTTTCATCTTGACCACAATCTTACGTCTCTGGGGAGTTTGGACAGCCAGGTCCTGACATATGGCCTCCAACCTAAATCCACTGGGTCCTACACAGAAAAGACAAGAAAACGTAAGCCAAATTCTTAAGGTGATTCACTCATTAATTTAGCTATTAAAGTTTGTTGTAACATATCAAATTCAATGAAATTAAGAACAGGTACAATGAATGTTTGAGAACCAAAAGCTGCAATTACAGCTTTAACCACTTTCTTGTAATGAACGCCCCAAAAACTAATACAAGAAATTGTGATTTAGTCTGTGACCAATCAATGACAAGGCATGGCAGAAGTTAATTTACAAGGAACAAGAGATTGCCAAAAAATTTAAGAGAAAGCTTTTGTCACAGTTCATGTGAATACGTGTAGTTGGTTATTTAAATCAAGACTAAACAGTACCGAAGTGAATCTGCCACTTGCACAATTATGTGTGTAAAAGGCATTAGTGTTAGAACCAGTGCGTGAACCAACATGCGTGCTTATTCATTTTGTTTACATTACACTTCCTGGTTCAAATGACGTCACACTTTGGTACTCTATAAGACTTGTGATTCACTGCTGATTGATTTGTACCACCTTGACAGTAACTCTTCTCACACAAGGATTAGTGTTTTCAATCAAAATGATGGCATATTTTCTTTTTTTTAACCACTTCCTGCTGGGGACTCTGGAATGAAGGTCACCTGTCAACTTAGAGTAATGCCTAAAGATTACTTCGTGTGGCTATAAACGACAGTTAAATGAAATGATGGATTTTTGACGGATTTTGAAAACGGAAAAAATGATAGTCGTGCCGGCCCAGCATCATCAACATTGAAAAAAGCCCCGGCATGAAGTGGTTAAGCCTAATCAAACTGTATCACAGACACAATTATCAGCCATATTCTGCGGTTCCAAATAATAATCAGGTGTACTCTTCCACACATGTCCACACAACTCTTCCAAAACACTAAAATAAGTACATTTGTTTCACATAACAGTGGGGAAATGAACTTTGTGATTTACAAATGAACTGTGAACCACTCACCAAGTACACCATAGCACATCTACTGATGGTGGCGGGGCTGGCCTGGGACAGATTGTCCACCTCAAAGAGAAGCCTCATCCCCGGGGTGAGGCCCACCCTCTCCCCGTTGGCCAGGCACAGCAGCCGGCTGTCATCCAGCACCGTGTTCAGGTTCTCCACCCACAGCGTGTCCACGGGCCCGTCCAGCACCAGCCACTGCCAGTCCTGGGGGATCTCATCGCCCCCCTGGCCGGCCGGGGTCCTGTCGCTGCTCTCCTCCAGGAGCTTGTGCTCATCGGCCAGCCCACTGTCCTGGGGATTGTGGGAGTCGGCGGCCAGGGACTGGGGGGTTCTGGGAGTTGTTAACTGCAGGTAGATAAAGAGGCGGTCGAGACTATGGATAAGTTTGATCATACGGTAAAAGACGAACTTTTTTCGAATAACATTTAATCCAAAATATTTTCTAACAAGTCTACGCAAGTTTGTAAAGCAAAAAATCTATTTTTTGAACCACTAAATAGCTGCTACTACTTCAACATATGTTTAAATAGATTTGCAGTCTGCAACACTAATGATTAAACAAACACAGCAGTAAAATGCGTTGTCCTACAACAGCTTTACCCAGGACTTTGAGGCAAAATATTAATATAAGATAGTCATCAGAAAAAAATGTAAAAAGAACATGAAATTTTATCAAGAATAGCCATGATCGCACCGTGATTAGAAAGGTACTTCCATCTCTCTTGACAAAGTTTCAAATGTCA